TGTTTGCTGAGGTTCGAAGAGAAGAAAGCCGTAAACATGTAATGTTGGTGAAGAAGACTACCAGCGGACCTGTTGAAAGTTCTGCCCTTATTGTTGTCGAGACTGCTGCTAATAAAGCAGTCAATTTTCAGCAAAAACCTGAAGAAAAGCCACGGGTTTGGTGCGACTTCTGCAACAAACCACGCCATACTCGAGAGAACTACTGGAAAATCCACGGAAAACCAACGAATTGGAAGAGTAGCAAGCCTGGTGACAGAAATAGGCGTGTGGTTCCTACTGCCAATGAAGCGGAGACAAGTCCCTTAAGCAAGGAGTAGATGGATCGCCTTCTAAAGCTGCTAAAATTTAATTCCTCATCTGGTATTCCTAATGTTTCTCTTGCACAAACAGGTAGTGCACTTAATGCCCTTTCTTGTTGTTTAAATTATACTCCATGGATCATCGATTCTGGAGCCTCTGATCATATGACCAGCCTTTCCAATCTTTTTAGCACTTACTCACCATGTTCTGGTCTTGAAAAAATTAGAATTACAGATGGTAGTTTCTCACCTATTACAGGAAAAGGTTTGATAAAATTATCTGAGAATACAAATCTTAAAAATGTTCTCCATGTCCCTAAACTAGCCTGTAACCTTTTGTCTGTGAGTAAACTAACCAAAGAATCTAATTGTCATGTAATTTTCTGTGATTCTTATTGTGAATTTCAGGACCGGAGCTCGGGGAAGAAGATTGGAAGTGCTAAGATAATAGATGGACTTTACTACTTTGATGGGGACTTCTCCAGTAATAAAAAGGCTCAGGGCCTTAGTAGTGTTAGTTCTTACTCTGTTTATGAACAAATAATGTTTTGACATTTAAGACTAGGACATCCTAGCTTCCCATATCTTAAACATTTGTTTCCTACTTTATTTAAAGGTTTGGATTGTTCATCTTTCTATTGTGAAAGTTGTTGCTTATCTAAGAGTTATCGTACTACTTATTTGCCAAAACCTTATATTTCTTCAAAACCATTTTATTTAATACATAGTGATGTTTGGGGACCTTCAAGAGTCACTACTATCTCTAGGAAAAAATGGTTTGTTACTTTTATAGATGATCATACCCGTTTATATTGGGTTTATTTGATGAATGAAAAGTCTTAGGTTGGAAAATTTTTTAAGGATTTTTACACAATGGTTGAAACTCAGTTTCAAGCAAAAATTAGCATTTTTCACACCGATAATGGAACCGAGTATTTTAATGAAATTTTGGGGAGTTTTTTGAAAGAAAAGGGTATTCATCATCGGTCTACGTGTGTGGATACCTCTCAACAAAATGAAATTGCTGAAAGAAAAAATAAACATTTACTTGAAGTGGCTCGTGCTATAATATTTTCAATGAATGTTCCAAAATATCTTTGGGGGGAAGCTGTTTTAACAGCTTCGTATTTGATTAATAGAATGCCTTCACGTGTTTTAAAATATAGCAAGTCATTAGAATGTTTCAAAAGAACTTTTCCATTATCAAGGATATACTCGGATTTACCTCTAAAGGTTTTTGGCTGCATAGCTTTTGTTCATATACCCAATAATACTCAGTCCAAACTTGATCCTTGAGCTGAAAAATGTGTTTTCATAGGGTATGCTTCTAATCAAAAGGGATATAAGTGCTATAATCCCCAAACAAGAAAATTTTATGTAAGTATGGATGTCTTTTTCTTTGAAAATAAATCCTACTTTCCCGAAAATTCTTTTCAGGGGGAGAATGAGGTGATGGAAGAAAATTTTTGGGATTTATCTCATACTCCTTTACCAAATGTGATTTTGACTCTTTACCTCATCCTACTGTTATTCCCGAAATTCAAAGTCAGGAACAATGTGATAAAACCAATGAAAATAATGAAAAGAATCCTAGTCATATAGTGCCAAACATTATTGTATCTGAAACAGGGAAAGAATCACTATAACCGGGCAGAAAAGTTCCCAATACTGAGCCTCTGGTTTATACTTGGAGAATACTTCATCAAAAGAGTCAAAGTCAACCTATTCCTCTTGGAATTGATCAATCTCGATCTCCAGGAACTAGACTTCCGGATATCATAGGTAATTCTAATCCAACTCATTTTCAGTTCCTATTGTTTCTCCTACTCAAGAACCATCAGACCTTAATATTCCTATAGCTATTAGGAAAGGTATTCAAATCAAATATCCAAATCCAAAATATCTCATTGCCAAAACCTTTCTTATGAAAAACTCTCTCATACTCATAGGGCTTTTGCCTCAAAAATCTCACACTTATTTGTCCCGAGAAACATTCAGGAAGCTATTGATGATCCGAATTGGAAGTTAGCAGTGATGGAAGAGATGAATGCTCTTAGAAGAAGTGGTACTTGGGAGATAGTTGATTTACCTAAGGAGAAAAAAACAGTAGGCTACAAGTGGGTCTTTACGGTGAAATGTAAAGCTGATGGTAGCATAGAGAGGTACAAGGCAAGACTAGTAGCAAAAGGGTTCACCCAGACCTATGGAATTGATTATCAAGAAACTTTTGCTCCTGTAGCCAAGATAAACTCAATCAGAATTTTGTTATCCTTGGCTGTGAATTTTAGCTGGACATTACACCAGTTAGATGTAAAAAAATGCCTTTTTAAATGGAGATCTTGAGGAGGAGGTCTTTATGAATCTACCACCTGGGTTTAAGGGAAAATTGGGACCTAATAAAGTCTGTAGACTGAAGAAATCTTTATATGGTCTCAAACAGTCCCCTAGAGCTTGGTTTGAGAGATTTGGGAGAGCTGTGAAGAATTGTGGCTACTGTCAGAGCCAAGCTGACCATATCATGTTCTACAAACACAGTAAAGAAAGTAAGGTTGCAGTGTTAATTTTCTATGTGGATGATATAGTCTTAACAGGTAATGACAATGAAGAATTGGAGAGACTGAAAAAGAGACTTGCAGCTGACTTTGAGATCAAGGATTTGGGTGCATTAAAATACTTTCTTAGAATAGAGTTTGCTAGATCCAAAGAAGGTATATTTGTGAATCAACGTAAATATGTTCTTGATTTACTTAGTGAGACAGGTCTACTAGGATGTAAACCAGCTGAGACACCCATTGAGCCCAACCTTAAGCTGCAACATTCTAAAGATGAAGAAGTTCTGAATAGAAAGCAGTATCAAAGACTTGTTGGAAGATTGATCTACTTGTCACATACACGTCCAGATATAGCTTTTGCAGTCAGCATGGTTAGCCAGTTCATACATTCACCTGGACGAGAACACTTTAATGCAGTCTACAGAATTCTTAGATACCTAAAGGGGACCCCTGGAAGAGGTCTATTGTTAAAAAAACCGTGGGCATTTGCAAGTTTAAGCCTATACTGATGCAGATTGGGCTGGGTGTGCTATTGATAGACGGTCAATTCTGGCTACTGCACCTTTGTTGGAGGTAACCTTGTCACCTGGCGGAGTAAAAAACAGAATGTAGTAGCGAAAAGCAGCGCAGAGGCCGAGTTTAGATCAGTTGCTCATGGAATTTGTGAGGTGTTATGGATTAAGAGACTATTGGATGAATTAAAGGTCTCTAATCCATTGCCTATGAAATTGTACTGTGACAATAAAGCTGCTATTTCGATCGCTCACAATCCAGTGCTTCATGACAGAACAAAGCACGTGGAGGTAAACAAACACTTCATCAAGGAAAAGCTCGAAAATGGATTAATATGTATGCCATACATTCCTACTACCGAGCAAGTTGCAGATGTGCTTACAAAGGGACTTCCTACAAGACAATTCGACCGACTAATTGGCAAGCTGGCTATGGAAGATATCTTCAAACCAGCTTGAGGGGGAGTGTTGAAAAGGAAAGATTTGGTAGTAATACTACCAAATATTATTAGCTGTAAATATAATATTTGGAGAATATTTTCTGTAAATAGAATATTGGTCAAATACTGTAAAATAAGAAATTATTAATAAGGCCAGCTAGGTATGTACGCGTATTCTCTCCTCTAAAGAGAACCTGTGTAAACTCGTGAATTGTGTGCTAATACAGAGAAAAAGATTTTTCTATTGTTATTTCCTTTATAGTTTATATAGATGATTTATGTGGGCATCCTTGACCTTGGATTTGTTACGCCAAAGTTTCAACTGCATGCGAAGCACTTCTTGTCCACTACTGTGGAGAGGATTAGCCATAGTGTATGTATATAGATGCTCAATTTGTGGCTGATGCCATCTGAGTAGTATCAATTGAAAGGTCAATTATGAGTCACAACTAGCTTTTAGTCAAGGAAAATGATATTCAGGTTGAAGACTTCGCATATGGCCTATGGGATGCAAAGTGATGGGATCCACTCTATGGATGCCTGCTAAAGACTCCACTGAAGTCTATTTGGCTCTAATAGCAAGGTCCTCTAATAGCTCTAAAGACCAGAAGAATGGAAAGGGAGGAGGTCTAGGTCTGGATGGTTGGCCTTGACCCTTATTATAGCTAGCGAATTGAGTAATATGACTATTGAGGTGAGCAAATTTACATGACTAAATTAATTGTTCATTTATGCTCTGCAGATTTCCATGCTGATACACCAACTGGTGTGAAAATTATATTTAATTGGGTTAAATGTACTAAACTCCCTTAACTCTAGAAACCCACCTGAATTATTCTTTTGACACTTAACCCCCATTTGTTGCCAAAAAAAAAAATCTAAAACCGTTAGTCCACAATCTGAAATTTAACTTAATTGAAGGCATGTGACAAATGTGACCTAACCCAATTTTAAAATGTCAAAAATACCCTTATGACCTTATTATATATACATATACATGTTATATCTATATACTCCGTAATTGAAAATCCCCAATTTATGTTCAGCAACAAATCCTAACAAAAAATTATTCTGCTAGTTGGTGTTCTATCTCCATCTCTATCTGTAAGTGTTTAGGGTTTAGGTATATATATATATATAAAATCATACAGACAAGTGAATGAGAAAGGCCATCATTATTCAACATGTCACACATAGCATTGCAAATCCTTCATAACAGAGGAAGCCATCACTGTCACAAATCTGTTTCAAGTGGGTCAAAGAAGGAAAAATTGTGAATGGTTTCAGAAGCCTTTGATGACCATGGAAAAAGATGCCCATCATTATTCATTTATATACAAAGCTCAATTCAAGTAGCAATATGAAAACAGAGTCCACTCCAAAATCCATTTTTATGATTAAATTTGTTGTAAAATCAAAACCAATTCATTTGGGTTTCAGAGATTTGGATGATTAACTTCGCTTCATAGAGTCTGAAAGGTAGACGGCACCATTATGGGAAGCATAAGTAAATCATCAAAGAATTTTGGCTTTACCATAATTCTTTACTTGTATTCTACTTTTTCCATGTTAACAATAACCTCCTATGCAGTAGAATTGAACACCATAAATGCAACTCATTCTCTTACAGATGGGCAAACCATGGTCTCTTCAGACGGAACATTCGAACTGGGATTTTTCAACCCCTCGGGCGGTATTTCAAGGAATCGATACTTGGGAGTATGGTACAAGAAAATATCTGTTCGGACTGTGGTATGGGTTGCCAACAGAGACACTCCACTTACTGATACCTTAGGAGGAGGAGTCTTAAAGCTCACAGACGGAGGAATTCTCGTGCTTGTCAATGGTACAAACAGCATCATCTGGTCTTCTTCAAATTCATCCTCAAATAACAACGCAGTGAATTCAGCTCCAGTTGCACAGCTTTTGGATTCGGGTAATCTTGTTGTCAAAGATGCAAATGATGAGAATTTCCTGTGGCAGAGTTTTGATTATCCTGGAGACACTTTGTTGCCGGGCATGAAGCTGGGAAAGAACCTAGTAACTGGAATTGATAGGCGTCTATGGTCATGGAAGACCAGTGATGACCCTTCTAAAGGAAACTATTCTTCTGGATTTGATCTTCGTGGATTCCCACAATTAGTCCTCCTGAAAGGTACGGTTGAGGTTTACCGCTCTGGACCATGGAATGGTCTCCGCTTTAGTGGCTCGGTGGGTTTAAAACCAAACAGCATCTTCACATACCATTTTGTTTTTGATCAGCAGGAAGTGTATTATGAATATGAGCTTATTAATATCTCAGTTCTCTCACGGCGGGTTTTGAACCAGAATGGAATTGTACAGCGCTTGACATGGAATTATAAAACACAGGATTGGACAGTTTATACTAATACACCAGCAGATAACTGTGATTTTTATGGGCTGTGTCAGGCCTATGGTATCTGCAGCATTGCTAACTCCCCGGTGTGTGGGTGTCTTGATAAATTTGTTCCAAGGTACCCAAAAGATTGGGACACAGCAGATTGGTCAGGTGGGTGTGTTCGAAGAACAGCCTTGGATTGCCACAATGAATCATCAAATGGATTTATCAAGTATTCCGGTGTTAAATTGCCTGACACGCGGAATTCCTGGTTTAATAGGACCATGACCCTCAAGGAATGCGAGACGGTATGCTCAAAAAACTGTTCTTGTATGGCTTTTGCAAATATAGACGTAACAGCAGGAGGAAGTGGCTGCTTGCTCTGGTTTGATGCCTTGATTGATATTAGGGACCTCGGAGAAATTGGACAAGATCTTTACATACGAATGGCCTTCTCTGAGTTAGTAGGTATGATATATATTCCCAAGCATGTAGATCAGTAGCTTTTACATTCTGTTTGGAAATATAAAAGAAAGTTGCCATGTTTTCACCAGAAAGGAGGCATATTAGAAGCTCTCAATGAAAAGTGTCTTCTTTTACTGCTGCTTTATTTCTTAGTTTTCCTGCCTTCAAATATAGTTGCTTTACATTGTGGTAAATTTTGACTCTGCAGAAACACATAGCAGCTCCAGATTGAAGAGTATAATCATTCCTATATTACTTGCAGCAGTGGTACTCCTAGGCCTGTTCTTTCTCTTGTATTTCTTAAGGCGGAGGAAGCTGAAGAGACTAGGTAAGATATCTAGAACACTCAAATTACTTCCCTTTCCTATTTAGCAAAGAAAACTACAAATTTTTACAGAGGCGAATCATGTCTTGTCGGCATCAAATGTCAAGATTTTCAAATTTATTTCCTTTGCCACTTTATCTTGGTCTCATTCTGTACCTCTTCAGTTTAATTGAACCACTTTTGCTTTACAATAAGGGTGGGTTGCTATAATCTGATGGCTTATGTACAGTGAGTGTACCAAAATCAAGCTTTTTGAATGCTATTAAGTATTGATAATATCATCCAACCAAAGTGTTTTTTTTTTATTTTTTTTTTTTCAATTAATCTACTAAAATGGACCTATCAGATTTTGGGTCTTAGTCATCATACTTTCTCTTAGCTTACATCACTTTTTCAGGATGAGGATAGAGAGAGCCATTGTGTGTCACGAAGGGTGTGTAGTTATCTGCCCTGAGAACATGTGTACTGATCTACCCTGAATTAAAGCTTGAGCTTTTAGAGAGAGTATAACTTGAATATTTAAATATTTCACCACAATAGTTGCCGTTTAGCCTTCTGGTTTGAACACATGACTTTGCCTGCTTTGATACCATGTAAGAGAAATTTGGAGAAGAAAAATAATCTTCACTCATTGCAAAAATCCCTTGTACAAGACGTGCATATATACAATTGCTCTCCACATAGAAAAGGAAATTAAATCTCCTAAAATCTGTTAAGAGTAATATAGAAAGATACAATATGTACAATAATTAGAAAAGGGAAATTTTTTCTAACCAATATGATTTTCGCACCGGGAGTGACAGCAATACCGCTATAGATGATATTTTTATTGAAGCAGGCAAATGATTAAAGAAACAAATAAATGCTGCTAAAAATGCATTTAGGGTATCATTACTTAAGTTTGTGATTATTTCACATTCTTTTTTGTTGATATAGCAAAGGAAAACAGCTGGACATCTCAATTCTTGTTCTACCTACTGATGTTGCTTACCAGTTTCTTTTTTTATTCTTAAAAAAATGATTATCATGATGCCACAGGAGTATAATGCCATACCATTCTAGAAAAAGAGTTGGGGTGATTCGTTAGTAAGAATATTTTTATATTGCCTTTGGGAGCACTGAATTGGTGCATTGAATTTGGAATTGAAGCAAATTTGGTGATTCGGTATTGCTGTCGCGGATTTAGTGCTCTCAAACATGGCATTAGTGATTTTAATTTGGGATCTTATTGAATAATATTGCCATACATGTTAATTCAACGAATTTGTACAACTTGTTTTATTCATATGAAGTTTATTTCTACTTTACAGAACTAGTGAAACTCAATCAAGATTTACAGTTGCCATTATTTGACTTTGAGACAATAGCTAATGCCACAAGTAACTTTTTGATCGACAATAAGCTTGGAGAGGGCGGCTTTGGACCTGTCTACAAGGTAATGGTCACATTTATAAATCTATGCAGCATCTAGGAACATCTATGAAAAATAGTTTTTGCTACCAACTCTGTTATGGTACCATCTCTATGCACCAAAACCAGTATTTGCATAAAAACTTTTCGGTCACTAGTTTTCCCTGAAAATTTCTATACTTTAAAATCTTCATTCTAAATGCTTAGCAATGTTAGTCAGTGCTATTGTTCTACACCTTTGACTCTGCTGTTATAATATGAAGTATGAAGTAATTGTCTTAATAATGCCTGTTGGAGACAATCTCCACATAGGATAGCACACTGAACGTCGAGGGAACGAAAAAGGGAAAATGAAACTCTCAGAATGATAATTTTCAGGGTGTGTTAGAAGAGGGACAAGAAATAGCTGTGAAGAGGCTTTCAAGGAATTCAAGACAAGGACTCGATGAGTTCAAGAATGAAGTTCTATGTATTTCCAAACTTCAGCACCGAAACCTCGTGAAGCTTCTAGGTTGTTGCATTCAAGATGACGAAAGGATGTTGATCTACGAATACTTGCCCAACAAAAGCTTGGATTACTTCATTTTCGGTTTGTGTCACTTGAAACCTTTATTTATTTAGCCTATTGTACTTTTTGATAGTCTTAATAAACTGAACTTAGTACTGTCTAGTTATTTTCATTATGCATGCTCCAAATTCCCCACTTCCTGTGGAGTGATGTTTAGGAGGATGCTTTTATCAAAAGCCTTGGGAGAAGGGTCGAGCCCCATATTCATCCCAGTTGAAGATGGGAGACAGGATATTCTAACTTCTTCATAATAAGTGCAGCTGCTTGACCTTGCTCCCAAGGATTATTCATGGTTGTGAATTTATAAAAGTAGTTCTCATTTAGCCACATGAATCCAACTAAACAGCAACATGAATTAATTGGATGGAAAAATTGGGCAGATAAAGAAAAAAGCATATTACTGGATTGGCCTAAGCGCTACAACAATATCAAGGGGATTGCTCGGGGAGTTCTCTACCTTCATCAAGATTCCAGACTGAGAATTATCCATAGAGATCTCAAGGCTAGTAATATTTTACTTGATAACAACATGAACCCCAAAATTTCAGACTTCGGCATGGCTAGAAGTTTTGGCGGTGATGAAATGGAAGCAAATACAAATAGAGTGGTTGGAACACAGTAAGAACTTTAAATATGTTGGATGTGCAACTTCTATTGCTCAGAAATTGATTTCTTTTTTGTTGACTTCCTGCAGCGGTTACATGTTCCCTGAGTATGTAATGAATGGATTCTTCTCGGTAAAATCTGATGTGTATAGCTTTGGTGTATTGGTGCTTGAGATAGTTAGTGGGAGCAAAAACAGAGGATTTTCTCATCCAGATCACAGCCTCAACCTCCTAGGACATGTAAGTGTCAATAGCTACCTTGTAGTATTTCATGCATTGATTCAAGAATTACTGACAAAAATAAGTCGCAATTAGGCATGGACACTTTATAAAGAAGGCAAACCTTTGGATCTGATTGATGCATCGGTAGTGCACTCGTGTAATCTTACTCAAGCATTTAGATCAATCCATATCGGTCTATTATGCGTGCAACAAAGTCCAGAGGACAGGCCAAACATGCCATCTGTGGTTATGATGTTAGATAGTGATATTGCTTTGCCTCAACCGAAAGAGCCCGGGTTTTACACTGGAAGAAAGTTTGCTGAAGTAGATTCATCATCAAACAAGCCAAAATTGTGTTCATCCAATCAATTAACTGTAACAATTTTGGCCCCTCGCTAGAAGATGTTTCATGTAAATATTTTGATCCTCCACGGCTCCACACCTGGCAAAAACTTTTGTATAAGCCACTTTAACAACAGAAAAAAAGAAGAAAGGAAAATGAAAGTTATTTCTGATGTAGAAATAATTGGCTGAGGCATATTTGAAAAAAAAAAAAAAAAAAACATCTTTAGTCCAAGAAGAAGGCCTCCGGTAATTTGCAGTATTGGTGGAAGGGTGAGTCATGTAATAATATTTGTTAATTTTGGCGGCCAGCTCCATTATGTGTTATCTTTATTTTATTTCATTTGTAATTGCCATGTTTACTAGAAACTTAACTAGCTGGTCTTTCGATCTCTTTAAATTTGTAAGCCTAGTCATATGTGTATACTGTTATCCTTAAGTCTCATAAGTTATTTCAGTAAAAATTACTCCTTAGAAGGATTGCTTTTCTAAAATCACTGTGAAGATAACAATTAGTATAAAGAAAGCTACTTGAACTAGCTGCATGCATAAATTGATATATAGTGAACTTGATGACGCTTCTACAATAAGCCCAAAGAATTTTTTTTTTCCTAGTTGGGACGCGCACACACTGTCTCTGCTGAGATTCGTATCCCTAACCTCACTTTAAGAAGTAGGAGTCTTATACCTCTAGGTCACATGCATGTTGGTATGAGTCCAAAGAATTCAATTACTGAAGTCAATTTGTCAACCAGTTCCCAATGCCTAAAGTTAGTTCTATTACTGTATTTGTACGTAGGCTGGACTTGAAACATTATGGACTTGAATTCTTTATCTTAAAACAAATAATAGTTAATTTAATGTGGAAGTTCTCAAATAAATTTAATTAGAAATGCGTGAATAGCAGTCAAAGTAAAAAACTCTTCAGAAAATTTTGAGTTCAAGAAATAAAATCATCTGTGTATAATACATTATATTTTTTGTTTTCCCCCTTTTTCTCCACTTGAATTACCAATTCTTGATATCCATCAATTCCATTTTTACAACTAAAGGACCTAGATTATTGAGAGGGACAATGTTAAAATTTCAAAATTAATATAATTGAAAATAAAGAAAATTAAAACTACTTAATGTTAAAAATAAAAAATATAAAAATAAAATAAAAATCAGGGGAGCATATATATATATATATTTTTAATTTTTTTTTTTTTTTTTCTTGGCAAAAGGGGCAAGTTGATTTTTTTTTTTTTCAACTCAGTTTTCAAAAAAAAACTCCAGGACTCCACCTCTTCTCAACCTTTGCCAAACACAAAAGAATAAAAATAAAAATATATATATTTTATGTGGAATCTAAATCACATAAGGTAAGAGTAGGAACAGGAGTAGGAGAGCAACAGAATTAATCAAAAACAGAGTCACATAAATTGGGAGTAGGAGCATGACAGTAGTAGAATTAATCAAATTTGAGGAGGATTATGTGACTTAGCGTAGAATAAGCCGAGCCTAAGTACAGTGGTTGCAGTAGTGTTGCATTTTGTGATGACTTCTCACTCTCGGAGATCAACGTTGCCCTAGCCTCACTCAGAAGTTAGAACCATCCAATCCAAATGATTCCGAAGCCAAAATCCCACCAACGACTTGCGACGACAAAGACGAAGAAGAACAAGTTCAATTAATTATATTCCACTGTGATGTTCTCGCTGCAAGACTTCCTCACCCTAAGACCCCAACCACCCCCCCCCCCCCCCCCCCCCCCCCCCCCCCGCGGTTCTTCTTCTGGTTCTTTCCTTCTCTCATTCTTCATTTCCTCATGTTTCTCTTTTTCAATTGATTGATGCCATTTTATTTTATTTTAGGCTGCTGAAGAAGGATAATTGAAAATTAAATTAAATTTTGAAATTCTATATATATTGTTTTTGTGGACACTGTACTTTCCAAGTAATAGATTCAGTTTTATTTACTAATAAATTATGTAACAAATTAAGTGATTACCTTTTCCTTTTTTTGGCCTGGTGTAATTTCAGGTTTGAATTACCCTTTTTAATTTTATCTTTTAGTTCACAATTTTCTCAACTTTCAATCACATCATTATAAATTTTTTTTTTTTTTGAATTGTGCTATGTACATTATAGATTTTACTGATTTGATATTGACATTGTGTTTTAAAATATAGAATTGCATAAATAATTTTCTTTCAACTCTAGTTCCAATTATAAGTCACCGACTATATGTTATCAAACATAATTTGAGAATTAATGACCTTTGTAAATCGTTGTGTGTCGTGGATGTACATTCATCCCCTCGATTTTGAGATGACACTGTTTTTCTACAAGTTTAGTATGTGATGATTATTTGAAGAGGAACTATGTAAACGACAATTGGAACTGATAAAGAAAGTAATTTCTTACATTTTGTTTCCATAAAATATTCACAGAAAATAAATGATAATATACTCTAATAAAATTGGCATTGAGAGGTGAATGTCACCAATCCTAGTCATATGTGCCTTCTAGATGCATCTTTACTGTGATATTGTGATATATGCCTAACTTTGTGCGGGCCCAAGTCTACCAAAATTTTGACCCATTTTTTTTTCATGGGTCATGCAACCTAATTATTCTCCTGTAATTCAGTACATAAGGGCATTTAGGGTCTGAAGTGGAGAATGAAAAAGACCTTGAAATTCGTACAGAAACAGAGTGAGAGACTGAAAATTTGTAATCTCCGATTTTACACATAATAAAAACTTTCGCCGGATCCCAATCGTGAACATAGGTTACTATCACACCACGACGGACATAGTGATTGATGTCAAGAGTATAATACTAACTCTAATGGACAATGGTGAGGACACAAGTACAGTTCAATTCCTAGAGAAACCACTTTGCTATTCTTTTCTAGGTAGATATCGACTTTGTGTTTGAAACCAAGAGAAAATTAAGTGAGATGAATTTCCATTCATGATCAAAAATTTCAGAAACCTGTATGGTACAACAATATCAACTTCAATAACATCAATTCCAATAAATTACTAAGGAATGAACAAGGATGCAACTCGAATAATGCAGCATCCCTGCAAGTGTACAAAAATTCGAGTGTTTTTCGATCAATGGAAACAGTCCAGTCGATTTTTGGCTTTCTTTTCACCCATGTATGATTGTATCCCATTGTTCTCATATGGGTACATTTCCAAATTTCACCCAGAAGTCTAGCAACATCAGGAAGGAATTGCAGGAGCCTAGCATATCGGCTGTGCTCAAAGCTCTCACCAAAAAATATTACCCCGACGGAAATTTATGTCAATCCTGCTTCAGGGCCTTTGTGATGTAGGCTCTGGTAAGTACTATAGCAAGGTAAGCCAGCACCGTGAAACTGAGACCAACCACCAAGATCATGCGGTCATAAGCTGTATCCTGGACAGTGTAGACCCGAAGCCCAATCCGGCCCCAATTGCTCTCTGTCCAAACATGGTCCACCAGCTCCATGGGATCAGAAGCGTTAGCGGGCAACAACTTCCAAGTTTCAGATTCAAACTCCAACCGGGTTGAATATGCCGGGACATACCTGAAATGATTATTTATGTCATGCAAGTCAACAAAAAAATCTAGGAAGAAAGGGGAAAAAAAAATTAATAATGGAAAAATAAGCTAAAACTTATATGTACTAGATCCATTCCTAGAACTATGTCACTCATCAGATTGGCTGGGAGGGCAGTCAAGCATATTGCATGCACATCAACAAACAAGCCGATGCGATTCAATGGACGTCAAAAAAGAGAACAATAATGAGACATATTGGCATCCAAGCAGGATGTATCTCCTCATATTTGCAAACCTACCCATTATCGTCCAAAGAAGTGGACTACTGCATGGCAACAAGCAGGTTAACGAACTTCCCAATCAGACAATTTGAATAGGGTTGGCATATAGACAACAGTATTTAGCCAGAAGATGGCAAGTGTTCTAAAACTCCATTACGGAGTATTTAGCTTGGGCCATGGAAATAATAATACATTGTTTGTTTTCTTTGCACAAACATCGATAGGGTTGACGGGACAGTAAGTGGATCAGACCACCTCGTGGTATATTAGAAAATAGTAACCGGGTGCAATGCATGGAGACTACCAAGGGGTATAGCATAGTAGTACTTCTTCACCTTCCAAAGTAAAAGGTCGAGGGTCAAAGCTACTGTAAGTGCAAAGTGGGGGGGTGGTAGTCTTATCCGTGACTAGGAAGGGAAGATGGTCAGGACCCAGTAGGACAGAGGCAAGGATGGAAATGTTATACATACATCAAAAAATGCCCCATTGCAATCCGCAATGCAATCGGAGAAATCCATGGTATTCAGGGTATGAATTGCAATACTGTTTGATTCAATTAAAATCACATTACTAGGAAGGTACCTGGTTGTGGAGACAACACAAAATCCCTTGCCATCAGTCTCTGTTCTAATGCACAATTCACCTTGGTTGCTACAATTATGTGGGCAAGCAGAAGTAGAACTCTTTGATGGAATAGATGTTTTGTCAGCCAGAAAATTCCACAAAAACCTTGAAACGTCACCAACATATCCAGAATAAGGTGTGAAAGAAGGTTCCCCGAGGAGGACACCAACATAATGACTTGGGCAGATACTGGTGGGTGAAATATAGTCTGTCACCAGCCCGCACGATAAACCTGGTTTACAGTTCAATAGACAACCCAAAAGTTCTTCAACCAAAGAGGCATTTATATTAATACCACTTAGAGATGAAGAACTTAGATTCTTATTGTCACTGGCAAGAATGTAAAGCGTTCGGGCAACAAGGGAGGCGGCTGCCACTATGGCTGAAGAGTTAATATTAGCTGCATAAACAACAATTGAATGAGAAAATAATAAAAAGCCTTGAAATACTGTACATTCTTAGATGGATTTCTAAAAATAAGAGAGTCGAGAATTTAGATCAACTCACACAGATCATCAAGGTGACTATTGTAGAATTTGTTGGTGAAGGCAGTATCAAAATCTTCTAAGACAACCCCAGAAGTCTTAGAATTCTGTTAAGGAATAAGTTTAAAACATACAAGTTAGCTACACAATGTTGCCAGGTCTGGTTTTGCAGTCCAGATTTTGGTTAAATTATTTCTTAAGATGATATTGCACACTTTTTGTTTTGCATTTTCCTGTCACCAACTTTTAAGAACACTGCATTAAAAAAAAAAAAACCCGAAGAGACATTATTCTTCCATTTGAGAAAGCTCCAAAAAAATAAATAAGCAAAAAATAAAAAGAGAGAGAGAAAGAAAGAAGAAAAAGAACTGCTAAACTCTTTCAGCAGGGGCATCATTGTAATTAATCACACTGATGACATAATTAGTCTATCTGCTTTTGTTGGTTCAGGGTTGACATTATAATTATTTATTTATCACCCCATCGTTATATAAGTCTTGTTACCTACGCGTAAGCTGCATGGATCCAATTCCAATCTTTTGCACAGACATCCACTCCAAAGAAAAACTTAACGGCACTAATGTCAACAGAACAATGACCACTGGACTTTTCAGCCGTGTTTGCCAAATGTATGGAATCAATTTCATAAAAGTAAGACCCTATTTTACATGGGCTCTTCTAGGTGTGTGTAAGAATCCATGTAGGGCACACAACACTTGGGCATTGGTATGAAATATGTGTTCGATGTCTGCTTGGACATTATGAAATATGTGTTCGATATCTGCTTGGACATGCACCTTAAAAGCATATTTGATACCAATTTCTCTTATTACATTATCCGTTCAAAATGAGTGAAGTGCCCATCTTGAACACACTATGTTACGTTGAAACACCATTCTGCATTATGAAGTAAATATATATATATATATATATATATATATATTGAAAAACATGACTACATAGCCATGTCCATTTCTTTGGTTTGAGGATTTGATAAACTCTCTTGCATATAGCACCCAACATGTAACCGAGTCCATGCAACACACAAAAGACCATATTCCATTCAATGAGAAAGGAATAGTTGAGGTGTGAAAGCAAAATTAGTCATCATAAAAAAATTACTCCGTATTCATTAGTCATGTCAATCAAGAAGGTGTCAACTATTATGCTATCAAGTTTAAGATCTTCAATCCAACAAATTGTTTGTATATCCAAAAGCAAACCACTTGTGTCTATCAATAACTGGTATGATTATTTTCTCTTCTATAAAGGTCATCACTGGTCCCAATTATGTAAGGTGTTGGGTGGGAAACAGAAGAGACAGACCTTATTTTTGCTACAATTTTTCCAAAGTCACTACTCCTGGACCCAACTTGCATCCTCAAGCTTGTCAACTTTATGCTTTTGCCATTGCACCACACACTGAACCAACCCCCCAACTTTCCCCAAAAATAAGAAGAAAACAAAAAAAGGCACCCTAATTGAAGGTGAAAAATCAGTAATAAGGAGCTTTGGAGCAGGAAGCATAGGAGACAAGAACAACTTATGAACCCTGTTTCAATATAATAAACCCAGAGTGAAACATTTAAATCAAGTAATCAAGAAAAGATCAATCACACTGAGTAGTATTTGATCTTTTCTTCAACTAAAAACAAAGCATCAAAGATAAAGAATGGTATGAAATTCTCGGAATGGAAAACTTTCAAGAGGCAATAAAAGCTAGATTGGATAATTGAACTGTCAAAAATTATCAAGGGGCTGAAATAAAGAAATAGAAAAGAACAAGGGAAGAGGGGTATATCATGTTATGGATGGTGCTAAAGGGGGAAAGAAAAATCAAACTATGGACAGAAAAATACACACACACAGGAACTCCATTAGCGTTGTTCATACCTTCATCAGAAATGTCATTAGCGACGATGGAGGTATACCAGGATTTGATACATTTGCCATTGAGATATTAATGCCTTTAGATTGAAGTGAATCTTGAGCACGATATAAAGCATTCAATGTTTCATTATTGGATGAAACCTACAAGAATAATCCAGAAAAGAATTACGCCACAAAGTCGTGCTGAAAACGAATACTAATTCAATTTGTAGCACCATGTAGAAATTAAACAAACCAAAATGAAATATAAATACATATCGAATATGACTCGTGCAGTCGTACTAAATCTAGATTTATGGTTAAAGTGATACTACTTAAAGGACAATCAAAATGCTTAGGCAGCCAAACTGTCATATAAACGCAAAAACTAGTTTTGATAAGTTCATCAATACCTGAATTGAAGACCCAAAAGAAAAAAGAAAAATAAAAAAAAATAAAAATAAAAATTACTGAATACCAGCTTTGTTTTCCTTGGATATATAACCCAAAAAAAAAAAAAAATCGCAATACTCATTGTGGAGCACCAAAAGCTTTCTCTAATTAGAACTTAAACCCAAGTGTTTAGGAACTTCTTTATTCCCCTTTCAAACATTAAGATCCCTAATAACAATTTTCAGAAATTATGACTAACCACCCTACCACCATTAATTCCCTTACAACTGCCGCCACCGCCAGCACCACACATCACAAGCATCTCTGGGCTCCTCACCAGTGAGTCACTAAAATAACAGCATATCACCACCATAACAGCAAACTGACAATCACCACCACTATCACCATTAATTTTTACCTTCACCAACATCAGCACCACTGTATCACACACATTGCACATCTCTGATTCATTAGCAATCATATTATTGACGAGAATATGAAATGAGAATAACATGATTCCAAGTGCAAGCTGTTGAAGAGGAATTGCATAAATCATGTAAAGGAATGTATAATTCAGCTCCAAGAACAAATGATTCTCACCCCAGTTGTATGAGCAAAAAAGGTTTTGACCCCCTGACTAAAGTCCTTCCCTACAGATCCAACTTCCACAACCTACAAAAAATTATCCAAGTAAAATAAGTAAGCAAATTTTAACACCTTTATATAGAATTGAAAGAGCAGGCTCCAAATGTGCTCAGACACAAAATCATCAAACACAGCAACAATCTGCACACTCCAACAACTTTATAAAAACAACAATCACCAAGCTCTAAATAAGTTATAAGATATTCAACAGTCTAATGTAACTGGAAACCAAAGTGCACATAACAAGAAAATCACATGTGATTATTAGCATATGTCCAACTATTGAAAAGTTACTAGTGATACCTATGTTATATGGACTCGGATGTGTGTGCCGGGAGCGGGTATGTATTTGCGGGTCGTATGTATCAAATCCTCAACAGAGGACAGAAGACACTGCTAATTATTCAAATAATCTAATATTTTTATTTTTGAGTAAAATAATGCCTTTCTGCAACATAGTGTATAATATAAGCAGTTCAATCATTTTGAAACAGTAATAAAATATTTTTATAATATAATAAAATTGAATTATGGGATATATTTTTTAGGTGCATGTTCAGCCAAAAGTCTCAGAAACATCTCATACTCATGTCCGAGTATTGTGTGTCCAACACAGGCACTTCACCTACTTTTGAAGAGTCCATGTAACATGGGTGATAACAGTTGAGGAGCTTGAAAATTGAGAAGCATAAACATAGCAGCAAGTCACCACGTAGCATTTTAGCCCCTGTAGTACTGCCACATAGCCCGATATAAGGCACTTCTAAACATGTGGTAATACTTACCCTCTATCCATTATAGGACTAATCCTTTTACAAAAAGTCATGCAAGAAAATATTAGCATCCAACGAATTCAAATCAAATTACGATGCTACAAGACAAATAACAAACCCCACAGCAATTATATAATGAGCTTGTCTCTGCCAAGAGGAGAAGAATACCGTCTGAATCAATGTTTCGTTAAGGCCATTAAATGCATCTGAATTCCTATCAAGTTCAAGTAGAAATCTCCTGCTACCAAGGTAACCCCAAGCCTCTCCAGTGAACACCGCAAAAGCAAGCTGCAGTAAAGAATATGGTGGGTAGAATTATCATCTGAACAACAATTTCAGAAGATATAAAAGCCACAAGCAGATCATGGATATGTTAGAAGAACAAAAAGTAAGCAAAATTATTGGATAGCCGGTGAAACAAAACGTTCTGAAGATGTATATATAAATATATACTAAAAAAATAGCAGGAGATCTATTAACCATACCAATCATATGAAATACTTACAAATAACAAATAACAAACAACACATGCTCACTTCAACAAGAAAAAACAGGAGATTAACAATGGCATTTGAGCAAGTATGAATAAAACTTCTCTAATTATGGGCATGGCAGAGAACATACAAAAAGTACAAACAGGACTATATTCATGCGAAATAAAAGAGAAAGAAAAGGACTATAACCACAGAGTAAAACAGAAACCCCTAAGCTGAAATAGATTGAACAGAAATATTTCATGTTAACCCCTTGACCTAAACATCCCAGTTCAGGATTGTTCAGGATTAATTAAGAGGAAAAAAAAAAAAAAAAAAAATCAAAGAACTGACAAAAGAGTAAGGGAGGCCAAAATGTTAAAAGATGTGGAACACATATACGGAGAGTCAATTTAAAAAAAACTTGCCCTTTAAATGAAGTAACTCTAGAGTATAAGCAACTTGTCAACAATTATGTAAAACCTAAGCAGCACTAATCTCATGCATACCTCAACAACTATGTAAAACCCGAGGAGCAATACTCTCATACACACCTGTTTACTTAAGTCACCCAAACCATCAACGTGAGAAAGAGCATCAACTGCCGCCAGCAATGATATCATTCCCTAAACAGTGGTTTAAACATAATTTTCTGCATTAATTCAACGTCGAAAAGACATTACAGAAAAAAACAATGTCTTCTACAATGAGATAATTCACATTAAAACAAAACAAAAACAAAATACAAAAACAAATAAATAAATAAAATGAAAATAACTTACAGATATAGGGGAATCTGCACCAAGGCATTTGTCACGGAAAAAGGAAGCACAATCCATAGATGCCACTGTTAATATGATAGGCTTGGACGCTGAACTATTAATTGGCGGAAGTGCCGACCAAACACTGTCCTTGTATTTAAGATAAATGAAGTTATAGTTATACATTGATGTGAAACGCCCTCTAATCCTCTATGTATCAAATTTATATAGCCAATTCATAAGCAATGTACAACACTAAGTGGAAGGCAGCGGAGGTGGCAGTGACAATGGTGGGGGTGGTGGAAGGCAGTGGAGGCGGCGGTGGTGGTTTTTTTTGGACTTGGAATGTGAGTTTTTTTGTAACGTGATTTTTCTTTTTAAAATATTACTTGGGAATGGAATGGCCATTCCATAGGTTGAGATGTGGAATGAGTTTTCATCTTTGGAATGAATTTTCAGTCCAAGGGAATGGTCATTCCCACTTTAATTTTCCTACCAAACAAAAGAATGGTTGGAATGGGGCATTCCATTCCATTCCTGCATACCAAAAACAGCACAATAAGCTTAGCTGATGACCAGTCCATAGGGCATTACATCTTTCTTAAAAGGGGAAAAAAATGTGCATTTATTTTTCCAGGAATGATTCTCTCCGTCCCTGTATAAACCACAACATTAAATCTAAGGAAGCTACTTGCAGAAACATGATGGGTGAAAAAAAAAAAAAAAAAAACTATGAAAATTTTGATTATGAACACAAGAAGTCATCCTCACATTATTGAAAAAGGCTACATCCCCAGGTTAGGGCTAATAGACAAAAGTTTGAAGATGTCACCTACTGATTGTAAAATAGCATGGGCAGTCTTCAACAAAATTATTGCACATATTCATCACTACAATTAGAAACAGCATCTGGAATGGCACAGCAGAAATCATGTAGCTTGCCCTCAATAATTGGGATGAATCACCACATTTATGGTGTTATTACTAATTTACTACCCAACATCTACTAACTCCAAATAAAAATAATTAGGAAACTAAATTAAAAACCCCACGTGAATAGAAAATTCCAAGAAATCTTACCTGTATCCACCTAGTGGAAGACAAGTTTCTTCTTTCAAACAGGATTCTGAATCATGTGTTCCAGCTTTTGTTGTCTAATAAAAATATGTGCACTATTCATCACTAAACAATAAATCATGTAAACCATGTAAAGAATTACTTAAAATTATCATCAAATGTAACTTGAACAACATAATCTTTTACCTGCATCACCAGATCGAATTCAGCAACATCTGCAGTATAAGCTTCCTTGTTCTTCTCATTTTTTATGGCAAGCTGTACGTATGAGTAATAGCATTAAAAATACAACTTGAACCAAGGAACCAATATTGCAGTCAAAAGGGCAATCTCTCCACAGAAATCCATACAATTTATCTAATAAAGATATAAATTGAAAAATAAAGCCACTCTGTGCAGAATAATAAGGTAGGAATGTTTCTAATCTTCCACTCTCACCGCCCCACGTAAGTGGGGCATACATTGGGTAATTTCCTTTTTCAGGTCGCTACAGATACAAAGTGTCCCTTCATTTGAAGGATTGCTTACAGAAACTCTTGTAATTTGGTAAAAGCATCAACAAACTTCACATGCACTATTTAAACAAAAATACAGCTAGGAATAATTAGATCAAGTAACCCTATAGAATAATAAACTCTTGCTGATCTATCTGGTCCTTCACTCTATTCCAACACTATGACACCAGTGCCAGTTTACCAGAATAAAACTAAAACCAAATAAGATGCCCCAGTCAAACTGTAGGGTCGTTCTGAGAAGTTCACTCAACATGAATTCATGCAAAAAAGTGTACAACATTTTTGTCAACTGGTATCATGATAACATTACTTCTCTAAAGTGGATAACAATTTACACTTCACAAAAAAAAAAAAAAAAAATAATCACCATGGAAGACAAAAAAAAAGTATATCATTATTGAACTAGCCGTAATGTGAGAAACATTCCAACGCTGACTACCTCTTGCAGGGTCGATGTGCCACTCGGAGAAAGTAAGAATACTGGATAATTGTACGCGTTCCACATAAGTCCAGATCCCTGCAATTGGCATGTGGGTATGCTTTAGCTTTTCCAACAGAACATGAGAATCCGAAATCAACATCCGTATGGTATTATCAAGAAGTTATTTTACCGTCTAAAGATAGAATGAGGATTTGCAGTGAACAAACTTACAAACTAAGGTCCAAGAATAATCATATTGTCATCAACCGATCTATGGAAGTAACAACTCTTTGGTGAATGAATCCAAATACCAGCCGGCTAATCTGACTACTAATATAATTAAATGCCAGTCAAAATGAAGCTTTACATCCATGCTTAACAACATCATACTGTAATGACTTTAAGACATGGTAAGGGTTGGCTCATAATGAGCAGCATAAGTCAAGGCAAAAGGAGAGGCGATTCACATCTGACAAATAACTCTGTGTGGAGCAATTTATTTGACATATCGAGCTCTGGCTTGTAGACTGACTGTGACTGACTGATTGATTTTGGGGAACATGATGCCTACTTTGTAAGTCTAATTCTTTGATCAATTCTCGATGCTAATGCATGTGTGCTTTTTGGACTAAAAAACGGAGGAATGTACCAGTTTCTTCTTCGTCGAGAGATAGCCTGGTGATTGTAATGCATGCTGTTATCTTTATTTGGTGTTGATTGGGTTATGCCAGGATTGCTAAGAGAGTTACTTGCTCGTTGGCTTGGGGATTCAGTAAAACAGAAGAATTCGGGCAGCTTGGCAGGCAATGTCTCTCTGTTTAATGTGGAGTGCGTGGGGAGAAAGAAGTTGTAGAACTTCTGAAGATGTTATGATCCATCATCCATCACATGGATTGGAACATGTCATGTAAATTTTTTTATTATCAGATTTTTTCTAGAAAGTTTCCAAAATCTATACATGCATTAGATTTTGTAGATAATTTGGCTTGTTTGGTATATCTCGAGCACTCTCCAACTCTGGTGCTTTAATCTATATAATGTTTCCTATAATTTATATTTATATATATATATAGCTATTTCATAATTAAAATAAAAAAAAAAAATTTAAAATGTATAATTTTTCTAAAAGTCTTCCTTATGTATAAGTGTAATCAAAACAAAGCACAAGCTTTCAGATTCAAAAACTTCTGACCAATAGACTTTCCTAACTAGCTGAACCTCAACCAATTCTAAACAAGAATAAAACCGACTCAGTACATGACCAGACACCTACTACTTTTTTACAATAACAACCAGACACCAACTAACACGACAAATAAGCCTAAGTTACTAAAACATATCTGATCTAAAAGATTATTAAAGGTAATATTGATAATGAAAAAATCCTTCAAAATAAAAGGAGCTGACGATGTGGTTCACCAAACCCCACTTAATCAGGAAATTTATCATGCAGCAACAAATAGCAATAGTGGGATCCATCTTTTTATCCCTACTTTCCTCTATTTCTCTGCCTTCGAGGTCAAAGGAAGAGGTTTTGTTCATAACAAATGAGAAAAGAACTAGAGCACAAAGAAATATATATAAAAAATAAATAAATAAACATCACCCAAAGAAAAGGGAGGCACAAATCTCCTGAGAAAATTATTTCCTTCTTAAGCAGTTAAGACTTAAGAGCTTTATCCTCACTCTCTACCCGCCTAAGGCCAAGTCAGTCCCAAATCTCATAGCTCAAAAGCCTTTTCACACCAAGGCCTACATCTCGTGTCTCATCTAACCAATAAATAATGAAGAATCTCCTGCAATAATGATGCATAATTGCTGGAGCCCCATAGAATAACCTTCGCATCATCTCCCTCCCTCTCTCCCAGAGAAACTAGAAAATGTACAACATATGAGTAGAACATAAATGATGGACGAGGACGAGGACTCGGTTAAATCCAAGACAAGAAAAGGGGCCGCAAAGAAAAGCATCCAAAACATACATAAAGTACTTAACCCAACAAACTAAAAGCTCAGCATCCTCCTTTCTTGAACAACATCTATATCCCCATTCAAGATTTAAAAAAAGTCCTGCTCATTTTTTCTTTTTTTTTTTGGGATCCTTCCCAGTTACGTTGTTAGGTCCTCCTTTCTTCTTTTGTTAGAAGGAATGTAGTTCAGTTTGCTTCACATCCCATGCACATACCCCATTCTTGTAAGATTTAAGACAATATTCATTGTCAAATATAAAATAAAATAAATAAATATATAAAGGAGAGCAACATAAATTCTATCTAATAAAATATGTACCCAATTACACAAAATTTAAGAGACTGAAATTATAACATACAACTGGGTTCCATTTGTAACTAATGTTTTGATAAGGAGAGAATTCAGCTTGTGGAAACTTTTCAGCTGGAGAAAATCCTACAAAGCAGAGAAATGTTATTGTTAATCATTTGACAGCAAACAGACACTAGCTAGACACAGCTTTGATAATCATGGAACTTTATTTCTCACCTTTTAACTGCTTTTGGATTTCAGTTCCAGATTCAATTAAAACACCACCTACATTCTTAGCAAAATTTGAATCATTTGTTGCTCTGGAAAAGAAAAATAATTATTGAACATCATTAACAATATATGGTATGAGAACAATAAATATTTTACTTTCTAAAAGCATCATCCATGTTACATATCAAACGACACATAGAATTAGTTCCACTGGATGGAAAAATGTAATCATGAAAGATGTGTACTTTTTTATTTAAATAATAATAATAAATAGAACTGTCCTTTTTTATGGACAACAATAAGAGGATAAAAACTGTTAAATAGAAGGAAGTCAGAAGGAAATCACATTTTCCAAAACGACCTTGAAACATTCAGCAACTTTCACTTAAGGCATTTTCAGCCATGCCCTACCTCATAAAAAATCAATTTTCTGGTCTTACAAACAGAAGTACAAACGCAATCTGCCCATTAAAGAAGTCAAATATAGAAAATCATTCAACGAAATGGCACAATCCCCCTCCCCCCCTTCTTTCCTCATTTTTTTATTTATTTTTTTTATTTTGCTATGTTAGAGAGCATGCATTGTAGTAAGCAGATCCCAGCTTGGCCAGCCCCATGCAAGAGACTACTCACTCAACAATAAAGTTCCAAAAACATCTCTACCACTCATTTCTCCTATTTGTTCCATAGGTTTTACTTGATATGATGCGCTAAATTTTGGGATAATTTGTGTCTGAGGTATGCGTTCCCCTTTTTAACTCTCTGAAAGTTTAGAGGCCCTATTAGGCCTTGGGTATTTTCTAAGGGATGTGTTCCCCTTTTGAACACTTCTTTAAAAAATCTTTACTTATCAAAATTTTTTTTTTTTTTGATAATTTGTGTCAAATTCTCTTTCTTTTTTCACACCAAAAGATGGGGGTGGAAAGGGAAAGAAAAACCTTGGGATATAAGAAACTTAAGCTTATACCTGGTTGATAATAGAACCCTCAGCTTTTGGGAAATAGTAAGGCTATTAAGAGTCTCAAGCTCTCTCTATCAATCACTCGATTGAGACAGTTTATGAAATTTCTAAAAAGTTCAATGAATCTTTTAATAAATCTTTTAGTCCAACGGTCAACAAGGAGAACGCATGACTCTTGTCAAGAGAGAAAATGCTTCTTACAGAGAGTTGTTGCATATACAGTAGTTTTAGGTTACATTTGCCAAACTCTAAACGAGAGTTTGACCAGGAATAGATTGTGACTATGTTTTCCTGGTTCAGATAGCCAGGCTGGACAAAAACCTCCCCTTGACTTGAATGCATATATAACCTCTAGAGTTCAGAGGTAAAATCACAAACCTCTACACGGCAATCAGCAACATTTACATACCCATGATAATAACCACCATATCGTGTAAAAACATTAGATGTACAACGTATGTTGGAGAGTCCAGTGCGTATACAATACAATGCAAAGTAAACTACAAAGTATGAAATATGGAAAATGATCAATTTATTTGCTAACAAATTAATAAAATAAAGCAATAAACACACCTAAGAAAGAAGTCCTCGAATTCATCCAATGATACCAATATTGCAGATAAACGAACCAACTCATCAGCATTCTTGAATCTTACTATTGGAGCAACAACCTTCTCACGGCCAGGATCTAAGGGTACCAATTAAAAAATCTAAATAAGGGCAATTATATTGAATTGAATATTCAGTAGTCATAAATTTTAATTCCATGAAATATACAAAGAGGAAAAATACTTGACTACCTACTTGAACAACCAATTTCGCCAGAAAGGTTGAGTAGTCGTACACAAGGATATCCGTCAACAACCATGTACATTGACTTCTCAAGATCAGGAACTGACTCAAACGAGTTCAACTCTTCTGAAGCTGACCAAATCAAAACACATGGTAAAATAAGGTAGAGAAATACTAGTGTTTCAAAGAAAGGGTTCAGTGAAAGTTATACATGATTGCGAACAAACATTGAAGAAATGTTATATTTGAAAAACTAAGTTGGTATAGTTACACGATACAGAACCATGTGTCCACAACCCCAAGCTTGAATGTTAAACTTTGTACCAATATATACAGATGAAGCCACTTACAGAACAGGAATGAGTGTATAGTCAGGAACACCAGGGTACACAACGGATTAGTTATAGAGCTAATATAAGTTATTAAGCATTAAAGGAATTCTAATTGGAGTTTTGAGTTGGTAAAATTGATCAAGCATTACTTCCCATGATTCCGTTCTAGAATATGCTTAATGCTCCTATACACCTAGTGACCAGTGATTGACCAGACTATAACAGGCTTGCCCAACGGAATTATGGAAGAGACTGATAGTAGGCCCAAATTTTGCATACTCAATACTAGTTGGATACTCCAACGATATAGTTGAGAATTGAGAATGGAGGAAAACCCATTGTCCATAAGATAACTTGTTTTGAGCAGTGACTTGCACGTAATTCGTGCACCGGAAGTTAGACATCCAAATCAGACACTACCAATAGCAATATGTGTTATTTATATATCTTAGGATCCCCTGAGGCTACTGAGCCTTGAATCATACAAACATCCATGTAGCCCTCTCGATAGTCCTAGAGGCTTCATTACATTGTAAATAAATCATCACTCTGAGAATGGTTTTCTGTACTCAGATTATGAAAACAATAGAATACCATTTTACTACGAACCAAGCCAAGCAACAAAGTGCTCAAGCAAATTTTACTGATTAAAAAAACCTCACACCGTGTGTGATTCACGACACTTTAAGATTGTAGTTTCATGCTTTGCTAGAAAAATGATGTGAAATTTTCGAACTCGGTTTACCATGTCACAGTAGTAGGCATCAAGGATTATGGTTGTTCTGATGAAATAGTAGCGATTACCCAATAATCACTTGCTGAATGCAAAATTTTATTTTTCACACTTATGTTGCAACTAATAAACAATTAAAATAAGAGTAACAATAATAACAACAACAGTAATTTAAAAGCAAATGACATGATACAATGACTCCTAATAAACTGCACATGTGTAATTCAGCATAGCTTTTTCACATGACAATTCAATCCAGATTCAGTTTGGTTGCCGAGAAAAAAGAGGATATAATGGAAGCCCTACAAGAAGTTGGCGTCTCAATTTAGTTTAATTTCTCTTTTTCAGAAAACGCTAAATTCAAATTAATCATGAGACTCCGTTTCCATTTTCTCGGCGACCAAACAGGGTAGGGTACACAGTTCACTCACCTGAGAAAGAGAGATGAAGCCAAGCCATGAAGCATAGGAGAAAGTAGGAAAGCTTCATGGTCATCGGAGAAGACGAATGGATTGGTGTGATGAGAGAGAAAGTATGAACCCTACGTCATCGACGACCTCGCAGCTTTGGGAAAGAAAACTCCGTCTGTTCTTGTCTCTGATTTTTCTGCGATTAGTTGAATTTTACCGGTGACCGGCTAGTGGGAAGAGTTTTAAGGAGGTTTCGAACTCTTTCACATCCAGAAAAAAAACCCTCACATCCTCATCACTGCACTCAAATAATGGCAATCCGGAATCCAGATGTATCCCGGTTACCGGTTGCTGAAATGGGTCAGTACTTTTCTTTGCATATTACTGGCTACTGCGTACTAACTCGGGGTTCTATGTAGTATTTTTTCAATCATAATTATTTTGGGTTAAAATCATAACAAAAAAATAAAAATAAAAATAAAAATAAAATAAAATCCCTTATTTTAAAATTTTCATCATAAAACTCCAACATCTTATTTTAAAATTTTCATCATAAAACTCCAACATCTTTCACTTCTACACTTTTGAAAAGTGATCACATGAACCCCAATCCATTAATCAGTTTATGAAATGATAATTTTAACCTTATATTAAATTAAAAATTAAAAATTAAAAATTATTTTTAAAAATTACAAAAATTATGGTTTAGAGAGAGGGGGGGAGAGCATTAGAGGGAGAGGGGTGAAAAAGAAGATAAAATGGTATTTTTGTAATTAAAAATAATTATTTTTAATTTTTAATTTAATATTAAATGGTAAAGTTAAATAGGCCGGACACAATACTGGGGCCTTGTAATCACTTTTTAAAAGTTTAAGAGTTTTTTTAAATAGATTGTGATTTTATGATCAAAATTTGAAAATTGTGAAGGTTTTATGATTTTAACCCAATTATTTATTTATAATCCGAGAAAAGGAATGAAAACACGTATCCTTGAAGTGTTTCTGAAGATGCAAGAAATTCAATCACCTTTCTCTCTCTAGAATTCTTACACTTCAACAGAATGAAAACTCAAAAAACCTCACATTCTCTCTACTCGTATTGTCTATTTATAGACCATTATAAATGTTCTAACCAACTTATTACATAGGACTCTTATTCTTGGGCTTTCTTCCTTTTGGGCCTGACTTCATTATGTAAGTCTCAGACGTTAGGCCTAACTCACAGTGTTGCATTATGGGCTGAGTTCAACTGTTCGGTCCGATCCCTCTTTCGTGGGTGTTGGGCTCATTATGAAACCCTTTTTGCTTGGGCTCGGACCTACCATTCAACCTGATGATCTACTCGCGGGTCGGGTCTGGTCCAATCCATCTTTGACATCCTCAATTGCCCCCATAATTACCCCCTAATAAATAAGGGGGTAATTATTATCGGCGGCCAATCATGATGTTGACGGCTCAAGAAGATCTCGTGGGAAAATGGATGGTTAGATCTAAAACTGATGCTTCGAGATTCTAAAGAAACTCCTCGTTTTCCTGATGCTTCGGTCTTCGGGCCCACCTGTCCTTATAAGTATCAGAGGCGTTCCCTCAATCCTTTTTTACTGTCTCCATCTTGCATCACTGTTAGCCAAATCTTCGCTTGCTTTTTTTTTTTAAATCAAATCAAATCTCCTCCGGCGAGCCTCTACGAAAGCTCCTTTTTCCAGCGATCTTGTAGTACTCTTTGACGTTTTCTCCCTTTGAGGTTAGTTTTGTTTGCCTTTTTCTTTTGGAAGCTCTCTTTTTCTCCCTTAAAATCCCCATTCATCTTTGCCATGCCTGTAGATCTAGATGTTCTTCGCATGAACTTTATCTCCCTGTCGATATAGAAATTAGAAACTGCCCTAAAGATGTGGATATCAGGACTAGTGCTGGCCTTCTTCTCGGCGAAGTCTTGTTTACCCATCTTCAATTGAATATCATTAGGTTCCCTTTGCATCCTTTCTTTAACTATGTTTTCAACAAACTAGGGATCTCCCCTCTGCAGGTAAATCCAAATTTTTTTAAGATCCTATTCATTCTGCTACTACTGACTCGTGACAGAGGTCTGGATCTTGATATCATAGATCTTCTTCTCTGTTACAAGGTTAGTAAGATCCAACTTTAGGAACCATTCACCACCTCTACCCGATTGAAAAGATGTCCATATGTGAAGACACAATCAAGTCTGAAAAGGGTTGGAGAAATAACATAATAGGGTTAGGGGGGCCTGGTCTTCTCCAGTTGCAGAGGATTATCCAATCCCGAGCGCCTTTGGCGTGTGTTCTGTCTCTTCATATAAGAAATTCAAAACACATCAAAACGATTGTCCCTGCGAAATTTGTGTTCCTCGCTTTTGTACTTTCTTGTGCCGTTCCTTAAGCATTCCTTATGATGACTTGAGCTACAGTGTTTGTAGGGATAAGGATAATTACTTGAAGAAGTACGTTCTGAACGACGTTCCTTCTTACTCAGACCTCCTTACTGCAATACCACTCGGATCCGAGACACGGGTTGATCAGGCCCAGGCCGAAACCCAAGGGATATCAAACAATTAATATGTAACCGAACACAAGAATACAAGATGAAATAAATAATAATAATAAGCTGGAAGAATACTAATTGAAATCCTCAAACTATAATTAATGAAATCTATTAAATCCAAACTCCAAAACTCCATAAGTTACAACTCGGGAATCCATCCTGTGGACCCTTTATTAAAAATCCCAAAAGAAACTAAAACATCCGAAAAAGAAACTAAAGGTAAACATAGTAAAGATTCCTACATAATCGGACGAATGAGTGTATGTATCTGCTCTGCACGTCCAAGCTCTAACCCTGGAACTGACGAACACCTGAAAAATAAAAGAGTGGGTCAGGCCCACATGCAAGTCCTATTCTACTACGATCCAAACAGTAATCCGATATGCAGATACATCCTAGGAAGACTCAACAATATCTAGAGTAGTCCATATGTATATATATAGTACATACTATAGGACGCTCACTAGTCCAGTAGATCTGTCTCAGCCTGACTAGAGATACCATGCAAATCGCATAATAATGTGGTCATGTGTACCTAGACCTACCAGGGAACAACACCTATGTCTAGTTATCCATCCTAGGCGATATACGCGCCCTAACCATGATCTTGAGACTCAAGCTCATACCATGGTACCATATAATAAATATATAAAGTCCGTACTCCTCCTAATACAAAATACCATCCATCTGTGTAATGGTCTAGTATATGTATAATCATCTGTCCTGAAACCATATTAAGTCATCCAACTATTTTGTTGACCTGACACAAGTAGGTAATAGACTTAACCTATATGGTTAATCCGTACCTTAATCCAAATTAGGCAGGATTTAGTGTTTGAACTAGTCCATACCTAGTATGTCACCGTCCCATACCGGTACATACCATCCTCCAATTAATACAGTTGACAACACAGTAATAGATAGTCATCAACCATACCCCAGAAAAACATACATACAGTCTAATATGTTTATGATTAAAATATACATCCAATATAAGATTCAGAAACTCTATTCCAGTCCTTCAAATTCATAAAGTAGGACTACGCATACAACTCCTCCAAGCAGTACCATAACTTGATGCAATATACAGTATAATTAAAACATCAATTAATTTCCATTTAAGCATACTTATTTTTTTCCAGAATAAATAATATATGCCTATAAAACAGCTGAGACATGATTTCCAATTTAAGATCATGCAAAGAAACCAATTTGCTAAAACAGTAAGCAACTTAAGTTAATTATTCAACCTTCCACCTACCAGTGTATTATGTAACCGTAGGTTGTCTCATGCTTCAATACTAATACTAACATACTTCCTAATCCTTTTTACATCTCTGGAACAGTTGTATAAACCATCCACAGCCTCTGGAATAATTTAGAAAACTCCCTACAGGCCAAACCCAAACCCAGAACACGAAAACTGAAGAGAGAAGAGGTTGGAGCCGCCTCCAGAACATCGGAGCCTGCTCCCCCCTTAGTGGAGCCGCCTCCACTTCATGTGGAGCCGGCTCTACCCCTTATAGAGCCGGATCTACACCCTTGTGGAGCCGGCTCCTCAAGCCCTAGAGCCGGCTCCCTCTTTTGGTGAGCCGGCTCTCTTCCTTTGAGAGCCGTCGCCCGTTTTTGTTTGTCGTCTCCAACTCTGGTGACTAACAGAGCCTCTGTAATATGTTTTAATTCTTCTTCTAGGTTCAATCTTACTCCTAGATAAATTTAAACCACTGAGATCCAATATAAACATGCATAGCAACCCAAGTTTTAAAACCACGCTTACAGAACCACCGTTAGAAACCTTTTAAACAAATCATCACAAACTTAATGCAGATTACTTTAGTACAATTAAAGACTGTTCTAAGCACTTGTTCTAGAGTTCAAACTCAGTCCCAAATTAATTACAAGGCATCCAACTGTATTACTAATCTCAATTAAAACAACGCTTAATCATAAACCTCATAAGAAACAAGTACCAGAAAACTCAACGATTATGCAAAGTAATTAATTCACGAGGTTAAATAAATATTCTGATATGCATAAAACATGTTATTATGTTTGTTTACCACCGTTTTAACCTTTATTTAAATCCTTGGAGTCTAACTAGCATGCACAGAACACGAATTAAAGGGGAGGAATAGAATAGTGACTTGCCTTGAGTTTCAGTTTTGAAACTCTAAACCACTGTCTTCGAAACTTCTGTCCACGTCTGAGACTCCTGTTCTACACCTCAGGTGCTCTTGGTTCAACCCAGAAGCACTCCGTCCAGTGTATCCTTGAACCTCTCCGATAACGTCCTAGTTTCCACTATTTGTATCTCTCTATCTCACGGTATAAGTATCAGTGAATAGGGTTTTGTTTTGTAACCCTAAACCAACGTATAATACTGTATTTATAGGCTTCAACACAACCCTAATTCTAATACAAAACCAACCCTAAATCGTCTACATCCGTGTAAATAATACCCTAATATAACTATATGTGTGCCTCCATATAGTCACGTTAAAAACAATTAAATTTAATTAACTTAATTCAATTAAAACAACTAAATTACATCAGTTAAATAATTATCTATAATTAAATCAATTCAATTAAAACAAGTAAATAATTAAAGACCATTAAATCACCACAATGAAAACAATTACAATTAACACATGATCACGTCAACAATTAATACAAATAGAAACAAAAGGCCAGTTAAATAAATAAAAAAAAACAAATAAACAATTAAATAAAAATAAATGCAATTTAAACAATTTAATAAATACCAGGACTATCCTTTTGAAATCAGG